CTATTTTTAATTCCTAATAGTAGATTCTGGATAGTTGTCAAACAATTCCTAAACTTTACATAAGGAAGGATTTTTTCATTTATATACACCCCAAAATGGCATCAAGACCCTTTTACAGAAATTCCCTACTGGTAAACATAGTAGTGCTATCCTGGTGAAACCCCTTTTTCAAAAAACAAAGAAAGCTATTTGGATTAAACGCATGCTCCATCACACCCAGCACATTTAAAAAACACCCCATTTATAACTCTTATGTATGTGTGTGTGTCAGAATGAATTTGTGTGTACCACATTCACCCAAGAGCTTGCAGAGGTCAAAAGAAAGTGTTGGATGCCCTGGAACTAGAGTTTGGGGCAGCTGTGAGTCACTGTATGAGTACTTGAGTACCAAACCTGGTCTTTTGCAAGAACAGTAAGTACTCTTTACTGATGGCCATTTCTTCAGCCCCTGAAAGGCTTTTTAAGTAAATAACCTTCCATACAGTATATGCATTTTATAGTCTCCTAATAATAAACAGGACCAGTGCTATAACTCAGTAAATATACTTGCTTTAAAAGCCTGCAAGCAGGACTCTGACCCTAAACTACGGGGAGATGAGCAACTCCACTCAGCTGTCCTCTGACTTCTGCATGTGTACCATGGCAAACATACTCAGACACACATCAAGCACCTACACATAATAATTAGTTTTTAACTAAAATAACATTATCAAAAACCATTTGCAATTAAGTTGCAAAATGTCAATTCCTCCTTCTAGTCTAGACAGTCCTCAACATTATGCAAGTCATCAATTCAACTGGATTAAAATTTCTAGAACAAGAGACTACACAGTATTCATCTTACGTGTTCTCCACACATAAGCAATGAAATGTGCTTATAACTAAACAAAAATTTTAAAAAAATGAGGGGAGAAGAGTTTTGATTTATCTGTCTCAACATACAACTGGGGAAAAAAGACACACCATTTCTCAAAAATGAGGATATAAAGAAAGATGTTTTGAAACAAGCCAAAGATGCTGGTGCTACATTACATATCCTTATCAAACACCACTCACAATTGTTTACCAACTGCAAAAATAAATTGAGAAGATAAATTGTCTTTTCCCTACACTACAGTCTAGCTCACCCTACAGCCCAGCTAGCCTAGAACTCACGATGTAGTCCAGGCTGGCTTTAATATCACAAAAATCTTCCTGCCTAGGCTTTTCTAAATGCTCTCTCTGATGAGTCACCATGCCTGTCTTGAGAGCAAATTTAAAACCCTGATCCTAAAGTTCTCCCGGTGACACTTTCAAGTACTATCACAGCCTTCACCTTCAAATTTACAGCTCTACTCCAAAACAAAATTTAAGGGGAAAGTGGATATTTCAAACAAGACCTGAATAAAAACTGGTGTTATTTCATTGCAATGTAAGCTCCTGAAAGTACATACATACTAGCAGGACACAATGACACCTGCCTTTAAACCCAGCACTCAAGACACAGAGGCAGGTGGATTTCTGTGAGTTTGAGGCTGACCTGTTTGCATATCAAGTTCCAGGACAGCCAGGCCTCACAGTGAGATTTTGACTCAGAAAAATAAAAGTATATACATAATTTACACAATCGTGATGATGCTTGTTATTTTAATGTAAGGTCTCAATTTCTTCAGCTTCTCAAGATAAATTATACATATGTGTATATGTACTTTTACATTCACTAATCTAGAATCATCAAAATAATACAATTGAATTAGCTCAAAGATTCTTTCCTCATATTCATAGAGGGGATCCTTACTACAAAATTAGCCTTTCTAAGAATTCCTACAGTCCGGCCAAGAAGTTCCAATATCCAAAAGGCAAACATCAATAATTCACAGATCCCCAAAACAGTTTACTCATAAATGCCAAAAGAAACTGCCAAAGAAGCCAGGCGAGTTGGCTCATGCCTGTAATCCCAGAAGGCTGTGGCAGGAAGATTACACTCCTCACATTTGAGGGCTGCCTGGGCCACTGGGCCAGTCTGGGCTACAGAATGAGTGAGACCCTGTTTCAAAAACAACAAAAGGAAAATGTCAAAGAAGGTATTCTATTACAAACACATTACCCGCTGGATGACCATACCCATGTTCTTCGGCATTACAGTGGGCAACCTAAATTTCTTCTCAATTAAATAGCTTCATTTTTTTCAAATCTCTCTTCTCCCCCCCCCCCCCCCCCCCCCCCCGCGTGTGTGTGTGTGTTCATGTAGGGACATCAACAGAGACTTAAAGAGGGTGCCTGGCACCCTAAAGTTACAGGCAGTTCTGAGCCACTGAACTTGGGCACTGGGAACTGGAACCAAGGTCCTCTGGAAGAGCAGTATGTGCTTTTAACTGATGAGCCCTATTACCAGACTCTTGTTTTGTTTGCATGTAACCTAGGCTGACCTTAAACTTACTATGAAACATAGAAAAGGGTTTGAACTCATGGATCCCCCTGCCTCAGTCTTCAGTCTCAGAATGTTGGGATTACAAGTATGAGCCACCACACTCAGACTGAATAGGCTTTTAGAAAAGTTTTTGTGGTTTCAATTCCACACTGATTTATTTGCTCTCTTATGTTAACTGCTCACATTTTATGCATTCCAAGTTATTGCAACAAGCTAATCAACTGGTCTTGATTATTTTTACTCCAAGACAGGGATCAATTATTAAGTAGCCAATAATTTTTTGGTTGAATGAGTCAAAGAAGGTCCTTTATCTTATAAAGTTAAGCTGCCCAGATGGGCATTGCCCCCCGCCAAATCAGCAACAAACAACAGCTACAAGATACAAAGTAGGCTGTAGAAGCATTTCGGCTTTCAAACATACATACTAAACTGTTAGAAATGCTCTGCTTGCTCTGTAAACACAATAACAGTTATAAATACCTATCTCCAATGGCACAGGAAAGGACAGTATATATTCCATACATATTTGATACCTTGGGCTCTCCCAAGCATAATCTAACCAATCATATATACCTCCTTTCCAAACACACTTGTATCTGCCGATAACAATCTCCTGAGGCACTATGATATGGACAATACACTACTAAAGTAGTAATCAAAATAGCCTAACTCTGCCACTAATTTAACACATGACCTTGGAAGAGTACCTCTTCACGCCTAAATTTCCTATAATTCTCAGTTTTAGGATTACAGACAAACTGAAAGAAAACCTTATGTTAACGTAATACTATAAATCCACATGGCCAGAATCAGCTCCCCTGTTCTCAGCCTGATAGCCATCACTGTGAGAGTGATAATCTGGCCTTTCATATTTATACACCTGACTCTTGATTCAAAGGCACAAACCACATCAAGTTTCTCCCCTCCCTCATGCTAGCATGCATGCTGTTATTAGTTAGCATGCTAAAATACATGCACATCTATGGACTCGGAGGACGAGTTCTAGCAACATTTTTAAATAAGCTAACTTATAAAGGGAACTCCATTACACTGCCCCCCAAACAGGCAAACTCTTCCTTAACACTTTTCATCCTCGCATATACGCACATAAACACAGCAGCTAGAAACCAACAGACCATCTGGTCTGCAAGACCCAAAACGTTTCTTTGCAAGTACAAACTAACCAGTGACATTTATTAAACTTATCAACACTCAGATCACTATGTCATGTCTGCATATAATTCCGCCTTTAGAGAACAACACAGATCTTGCTGTACAGGTAAATTACACTCTGAAGATCATCTCCCTTGCTACTTTTGTCCCTTACTTAAACACATAAACTAGATCTTGGGAGATGCTCCCATCAGGCCTACTATACAAACTAACCTGTCAGGGGCACAGGCGACTCCGCCTCCATTCGCTTACTTTCCCGTCCTTCTCCCCCAAACCAGGAGCCCGCCGGTCAGGGACACCCCGTCACCCCGCCTAGACTTCCCGGTAAGCTCAGGATCCCTTTCCCTCCTCTCCCCTCCCCCATCCTCACCCCGCTCTCCCGGAGGTCCAGGTCCGGGAGGTGACAGTGGATCACGGGTGGCCAAGGAGAGAGTACTTGGGCCTTCAAAGGCCTGCTCACACCGCACTACTCACCGTGTGAGGCCGAGAGCGCCGAGTGCAGGCAAATGGGAAGAGGGGGTGGCAGCCTGGCGCCTCGGCTTTCCTGGGTCCTCACCGTAACCCTCCTGCCTGTCAGGAGGCGGCCAGCGGGTGAGCGAGGCGGCGGAAACGCCGGAGCGGAGAAGCCAAAGGCGTAGGTCGGGAAAGGGGGAACCGAGGGAAGGCGGGTCCGGCGGCCGAGACCGGGATCGTCTCCCCCTCCGCAAAGCGAACCCAAAATGGCGGCGGGAGCGGCGGCGGCGGCGGCGGCTCTGGGGAGGGAGGGAGCGAGCGAGCGAAGGGCGCCTCGTGCCCCCCCGCCTCCCACTCCTCCCTCCGCGCGCCCTCCCCGCCGTCCTCCCCCTCACCCGACTCCGGCCGCGCGGCGCGCACGCCCGCCGGCACGCTTCCGAGTGTGTCCGGACTGGTCGCGAGCTGCGCCCTCCAACCACCGCCTCCGGCCGCCCCGCGCCGGCCGCCCCGACGCGCTCGCTCCCGGCTCCCTCCCGGCCCTCCCGCGTACCTTCCGCGGCGCGAGCCCGAGCCTCCTCCTCTCCTCCTCCGCGGCTCGCCGCCCTCCCTTCCCCGCCCCCACGGCTACCAACGGCAGCCACGGCCGCCGCCGCCTTCGCCCCCACCCCTCGAGCGTGCGCCTCCCACAATCCCCCCCGCGGGACGTTCCATTGCGCGCGGCTGCGGGGAGCGGGGGGCGCGCTGGCGCGGGAGCGGCTCGCCCCCGCGGCGCGGCTCGCTCGGGCGGCGAGCGCAGCGACCCCGGCACCGACCTCCTGTGCGGGCCGCCGCGGAGCCGAGGCCCGCAGCCCGCTTCCGGCCTCGGGGCGGGAGGCGTGCTGCCCCTCGGCCGCGCTGTGGTTGGAGCCGCGGCGGCTGCGCGTTGGGGAGCTTCCTGCTGCCCGACCCGAGCTGGCTCCGCGGCTGCAGGACGGACGCCTCGCCTCGCATCCAGCTGCGGGCGGCGTGCGCGGGTCGCGGCGGCCGGAGCCCGGGTGTGCGCTGGCGGCAAGAGGACTGAGCCGCCGGGGGACGAGCTGAGGCAGGAGGGGAAGGAGAGGAAGAAGCGGGTGTCCGAGCCGCCCTGAGGTAGGGAGCGAGAGTAGTGTCCTCCAGACCCCGGGCTGCGACCTGGGATTGGAGGCCGGACGGGCTCTAGCGTGTGCTCCTGTGCTCAAAGATTGTGCATGCTCGGCTTTCCCCTGATAAACCTGAGGTTACAGCAGCCGTCCTTAACCTTCCTGATGCTGCGACCTTTCAATCTAGTTCCTCATGGTGTGACCTCCAACCGCAAAATTATTTTCGTTGTTACTTCGTAACTGTAATTTTGCTGTTGTGAACCGTAATGTAAATATCTGGTGTGCAGGATATCTGATATGTGACCCCTATGAGACGGTCGTTCTGGGGTCCCCCAAAGGTTCACACGACCCACTGGTTGAGAACCAATATTAGAGGCTTAAACCATGCACTTCAAATTTATTTCTGGACTTGATCTTTTATGGCCTTCAAGTTATTTTTCTAAGCTACTTACAGGCTGCATGGTCGTAAAAATCAGCTAACGCCAAAATATGCCTTCAGGGTTAGAGTATGAGATGAGATCATGTATGTAAAGTGGAATTAGCTTCTGGGCACTGGGGAAATGCAGACTATTATTGTTATCATTTACGGCGCTGTTGATGTTGATAAGACTTGTAGGTGTAATTGGTACTTTGTATTCTATTCATCTAAACTGTTAGTTAAACCAGACCTGCGGCGTTCATTGGATGCTAATATTTGTTTCTCAAAACTTCATTGTCATTTGATGACTGAATTCAGAGCTATGGGATGTTAAAACCCCAACATTTGATCTACCAATTTTTAGTCTCCCACAAAAGGCAAAGCAAAATTTTAAATGAATGAACTACTTCAGTTTTTCTTTTTATCTCAATTTTTACCTTTGTGATTTGGGGAAATTTTAAGTATTACTATATTCCATTCATTTCTAAGACCCATTCTTTTAAAATTCAGCGTCATTTTGGAAGGTTGGGGCTAGATTGTCTTTTAAGACAGTCTCTCTCTTTCGCCCAGGCTTGCCTGGTCTCTTGACAGTCATCCTGTCTTAGCCTCCTTAGTTCTTGCATTAGGTGCGTGAGCCAACCCTGGCTGTCAGAAGTCCCTATCACCTGTATGCGACAGGATTTGCCTTCTTGTTCCCTTCTCTGATTTAAAGAGAAAATCAACCTTAATTACCTTGCTGTGAAATTACTTTAGCTAATCAAGTCCTAGCTGACTTAATGGAGCCCACCTAGGTTTACACTGATCTTATTTTAGTAGCTTCCTGTGTACAACTTTGTATGGGTATGTACAGACTGACTTCTTTCCAGTTTTTCATGGTCCGTTTCAATGAGTGGACATGTTAAAATTAGATACGTAGTTACTAGAACTAGCCAAGCACAAGGCTATAATCTCAACACTTGGAAAGTGGAGACAGGAGGTCCAAACTTCAAGGCCATCCACAGCTACACAGCAAGATCTTGACCAGCCTGGATTAAATGAGATCCTGTCTCAGAACAACAGCAAAGGATAAAAGGAAGGAGTGAGAGAAAGTGCAAGCCTGAAAAGTATTGATAGATACTGTCCTGGGGAACATGTGTCCTATTTAATCCTTACAACAGTGCTGTGAGATATTCTTGCCTTGTTTTTCAAGTGTAAAAGCTTGACACAGAAACCCCATGACTTGATCTTTAGATTGTAGTTGCCTGTCTCTTAAAAACTTTCTCCCTACACCACACTGCCTTCACAGTAAAAATGTTTTATTTTTATTTTTATTCTTTTGTGTGTATGGGTGTTTTGCCTGCATGTATGTCTGTGCATCTTTGGGGTGGGGGTGGGGGTTGTTGGATCACAGAAGATTGTGAGCCACATGTTGATACAGGCGATGGGGGAGCAATATGTTTTGTTTTGCTTCGTGTTTTTGTTTTGATGATGCTAAAAATGAAACACAGGGTCTTAGAATTGCTAAGCAAGTATGGAATTAACTGAGCCACACCCAAACCAAAACACTACATTTATTGTGACCACCAGTATATAAAATGTCTATGGTCTCTGGATTCCATAGCTTTCAGTAAGTGCACCAATTTATGGATTGCCAGGGGCAAATAAGGTAATATTCTGTTCTTTCTTGTCTTCCTGCGAACCTACCAGAACCTAAGGTATATTTATTGAGTGCTCAATAGAAAAAGCACCTCATTGAACCTTAGGTATTTAACCAACAATGATAGGAGTGACCCAGACAGCGAGATGGCTCAGTGCATAAAGGCACCTGCTATCAAAGGCTGACGACTTTAGTTCGATCACAGGATCTATCCAAAGGTAGAAAGAACTGACTCCCCAGAGTTGTTCTCTGAGACCCCCCACTCAAGAACCCACACGTACATATACACTAAAAATAAACCAAGGGTTTTTGTTATTCTTTGCTTTTTAAGAGGTGAACCAACCGGGCATGGTTGGCACGTGCCTTTAATCCCAGCTTTTGGGAGGCAGAGGCATGTAGAACTCTGGGAGTTCTAGGGTAGTCAGGGCTATAAGATCCTGTCTCAAAAGCAAAACAAACAACAAAGATAGGAACGACTGTTGGCAAACTTAAAAAAAAAAAACAAAAAAACCTCTTATATATGCTTCTTAGATCTTTTTCTCCCTACTTCACCCCACTTCCTTCCAACACGAGGTAGAAGAAAGTGTTAGTGGGAGAGGGGGCCGTTCTCTTAACTGCTTCCTGCTGGTTAGGGTCGTCAGGTTCCTTGGAGCTGGTCCAATCCTCTTTTCAGGAGATCTCCATTTTCTTGTTTGACCACAGCAATGAGAAGCAGCAAGGAGGAAGCAGGAGCAGCCTTGTTCTTTCTCAGACCTCCACACACTGTGGCCTCTGGCATTTATTCTCCCTCCAGAGTCTTCGGATTTAAGTTATCTGCAGCTGGCAAAGAGCTCCTCTCAGAGCCCTCAGGAAGCAAATAGTCTGCTGCTGTGGACTGTCTGAATCAGTCCCACATCCCATACCTGGGACCAAAACAAAAACATTTTTATATCCACAACAAATGACAAAATAATTTTCCCACATATGTCCACATTTAGTTCCTGTTCTATGAATCTGCTAGTTATATGAAATAAAAGGATACAAATAGAAATATGGTTGCTAATCAAGGAAACAGAAAACTAGTTATCACAATGATGTAATATGAACCAAATCTCCAAACCAGAAGCTGTAGATGTCAATATAATAGAAATCCATGAACCAGGCAGCTGTAGGTACTGGAAAAGGAAAGGAAAAGGGGGTTAGGGCTGTCTGGATGCATCCTGATCCATTTCTGTTTTTTACTTTCTGAGCTACAGATATTTGTTTTTTATCACTCAGTTGGTAATTTGTTAGAGCAGTAGTAGGGAGCTAATACATAACAATAGATCATTGCAAACCACTGAAGTAGTTTCCTAGAACTGTGGTTTGTACTTTTAAATGAGGATGTAGTTACTCTGAAACAACTTCAGATAGAATGAAAGCTGGTCAACAGAATTGTCTAACTTTCCAGTATTTCCTTACTCTGCTCCTAGCATCAGTCCTCAAGCTGAAGACAGCTGTACTACAGCCATGTTTTCAAGCACACCTCATACTTGCTTATCAGAGTAATGTACTGTGTACAGTACCTAGAAAGGCCAGAAAAAGGCATCAGATTACCCTGGAAATGTTGTTCACCACCATGTGGGAGCTGGGAATCAAACCTGAGTCCCCTGGAAGAGAAGCCACTGTTTTTGGTTTTGTTTTTTTCCTTCAAGACAGGGCTTCTCTGTGTAGCCTTGGCTGTCCTGGACCAGGCTCTCCTCAAACTCACAGTGATCCACCTGCCTCTGCCTCTGCCTCCCTAGTGCTGGGATTAGAGGTGTGTGCCCCCACACCTGGCTCAGCCAGTGCTTCTAAGAGCTGTGCCATCTCCCCATCCCTGATTCTAACTTTTAAAAATAAGGTCTCAAATACTGAAAGAATGGATACTGCAAAGATTAACAACGTGTTAGTTAAGTTGTAAATACTATATAAGGATCTCTAATGTTTTATTTAACAATGGAAGAACTTTGAAATTGTTTAAGTACCAAGATTTTAGACTCATGCCGTGGAAACTTGAAATAAATCCTACCAATTTTTTTAATCTGTTATTTTTATACTTACTTAATTCCTTCCTTCTTTTCTTTTTCTCTCACCTTTCTTTTCTTTATTGTTTCTTGCTGGCCTGGAACTTACTGTGTAGACCAAGCTTGGCCTTAAGCTCACAAGATCTGCCTGCTCCAGACTCCGAGTGGTGGAATTATGCTTTGCCTGTACATTAATTATGGTATTCATAACTTGAGAAATATAAACCCATTCTCCCTCTTTTCCTCATCATCATATAAATGGCCAAGATTATCAGTTCTTTTCTATATCCTTCAATAGGTATGTTTCCCTTTTTATATGAACGATAGCATGTTGTGTACCTTGTTTGATGTTCTACACACACACACACACACACACACACACTCAAAATAGGTCTCTCTTCCTAATAGTGTACATAGTTTTTAGAGTTTGGTTAGGTTTACAAGCAGCCGCATTCCATTGTATAAATATGATACGCTTAATGATAGAAATCTGGTTCTTCTTAGCTATTTAGAATTACAAAATGTTCCAGCTGAATGGTTTGGTTTGGTTCAGTTTTGACATCGTCTGTCTATGGTGTGAACATTGTCCTCCAATTCATAATTCTGCTGTGATTATACATCCACACCACCACAGTAAGCTAGATTGAACAGTGTTTTTTATTCCATACACAGTGTTATCAGCATTGCTAATTGTTAATACCATTAGAAATGGGAACTGGTATCACTTCTTGGCATATTGTCTAAGATGGTATGAAGAAATAAAAATCAACAAGTGTAATTTCTCGGAATGGCTGTATAGCTCGGTTGTAGAATACAGGCTAAACGTACATGTTTTAGGGTGGACTGCCAGGGGGTAGGGCAACAACTGCATGCACCGTTAGCGCTCAGATATATCACATCATTTTAGTGTATCTTTTTCTTATAGTCTTTAT